TGTGTTTATCCCTCGGGATAGATACAAGATTTGAGGTAGAGCGCTCTTTCATTTAAACTGTGAAAAATATGAGGTCAGTTTGATTTCATATTTTTCTAAAATTATACATATATATGTAAATTAAACGTCCTTCCGAAACGGGCGACGGTATTTCGATTCAGGCGACCGACAACTTCTTACGAGCAACTTAACCCCCCAACTTTTCAGTGCCGACAATAATCTGACACCCTAGAACACTTAAACCGACAAGGAGCTTGGAACTAGCGCGGTGGGCAACACGACCATCTTTAACAACAGAACATGTCATCCCCAGCTAAACCATTCATTTCCTAGAAATTAAAATAACAATCCATAGGATTTTGAGGTTGTTCGCCTTGCGCAACATAAATCTTCAACCTTTTCGTTAGACATTTATATAGCTCTGTTATACGATCTAAGTCATAACTCGTTTTAAGATTCTAAGGTTGTCGTTCGTTAGCTTTGTTATACGATCTAAGCCATAACTCGTTTTAGGATTCTAAGGTTGTCGTTCGTTACAACCTAAATCCTCACATATTCTAGGATCTTCAAGGCAATTTGTGTGATCGTCTCACACGAATGTAAGCCCTAATTAAATAAAATTGGCAGAATGAAACATTTGAATAATTTCTCCTCAAAACTGAAGTTAGACCATAGGGTAGACTGGGAAGTCACCGAGGATCTCCTCTGGATCTGTGACATTTCCTAGTTCTTCTTTCTTTGGATTCTGTAATAAATTTTTCAAACTTGAGTCATTCCCCTTTCACACCTCTTTGTCCGATTTCGTTGAAAAGTCTCATCCTTTTGAAGTCCGCGAAGATAATTTTTTCAGATTTTTTATCGAGAGTATTCTTAAGTGATTTCGGTCATTTAAGATGTAATTAACTATAGAGGTTTGCCCCTTATAGGAAGCTTTTTCAAACCCAACTTAAAATAAACCATATTTAATTTTTCATGTTAAATAGAGGGATTTGTCGGCAAATAAAACAGTTTCGCAGACCAAACGGTCGTCATGTATTTCTTAATTTATTTGATCGGGCCTCATCCTCAAGAATTGTGTTTATCCCTCGGGATAGATATATGGTTTGAGGTAAAACGCTATTTCATTTAAACTATGAAAAATATGTGGTCAGTTTGATTTTTCATACTTGATTTTAAACTTAAATCTATATGTAAATTAAAGCATCCTTCCGAAGCTGGCGACGAGATTTCAATTCTGGTGACCGACAGCTTCTTACGGGTAACTCCCCCAACCCTACTTTTTATCGCCGACACCGCACGATGCAGATAGGGTCGAGCGACACAACTGAAGTGGTTGAAGAAGATAAAAATGATTGACACAGACTAAGCCGCGACACAAAATAACAAAATTGACTATTAAGGCCGCACTCGCATGCTGGGAACGAAGCCTAACAGAGGAGGGTGATGAGCCGTGCGTGTCTCATTGATCGTTTGAAGGGAAACCGTCTCTCTTATTTCTTGAATGAAAACATATACATATTTATATACACTCTCATCTTTATAAATTAGGAAAATATCTAATATAGAAAAGATTCTCTAATTAATATCCTCTAATTCGATTATCTAATATAGAAACAGTAGATTTATTACTTTCCATAACAATTATCTTAATAGTGAGATCAAGGTTTATATTTTTGCAAACCACATGTATGTGGCAGGAGAAAACAACTGTCCTTGTAATTCAGTCATCAAATTGCCTTGAGGTGTTCGATGAGTTTTTTGCCAAATCTAAAGAATTTGTGCCAAGTTTGAAACTTCAACTCAGATCCAATGATTCAACTCTATTAGCACTTGGCCAATATTAAACCCATCCAATGACTTAACTTTGATTTTCGATAATTTTAATTTCAAAACTTATTACCCCGGGTTATAATGCTACAATTGCAATCTGAAAATGTGGCATCTTGGTCCTTAAATTGACTTAATATCTAATCTAAACTTGCATGATATATTAACTACACCAAAAGCTCGATCTCTAATGACACATGGAAAAGAATTTGTGATAAACACATCTTAAATATCATATGTCAAATATGTAGTTATGGTTTCAGTGTTTTAAAACATGAAACTACCAGTTTGCCATATTGGCTTGATTGAAAACTATGTTAAAAACGTGATTATGGTGAGAATTGATCCTAGGCCATTTTATACTGTAAAAAATATGCCTTTTCAACTTATAACCATCTCTCTAAAGATATTAAAAGATTGTAAATTTATTGAAAAAAAAACTTGGGTTTCTAAAGCCTCTCAAATTTTCTAATTTAAAGATAAGATTTTTTGTTACTTAAAACTAAATTATTTGAGTTTCATTTTATTTTTTTCATGATAAATTAATTAGTTATTTTGTGAAGAGATTATCTAAAAAATGATACTCTTATTTTACCTGTTCTGTTCCCATGCATTTGGGCTTGTGAGGCTTTACAAGTCTGAAAACTACTTGCTCTAAAGTTGTTTTTCCTCATCTCAGATCAACGAGGAATTCGAAGAAGTTCCTGTACAGAGTCGGGGTTTTGGTATTCTTGATGTTGGTTATAGATCAAAGGTAAAAATTTCAGACTCTGATACGAGTAGACTATAATTTTTCTTGCCTTTAAATGTATTGAGAAGAAACTAGTACTATATAGTATTTTTAACATCAATCATAACTCTTTGTAGTTCCTATCTAATACAAAATTTAGGCTTAAGAGTTAACTAGCTTCTTTAGTACAAATTAATGGATGTCATTAAAATAATTTTAAGGTCTTGCAATATTCTACATCAGGATTTGTTGCTTCTTGTATTTTATATTTCATTTTTTAAAGATGTCTGATTTTTTTAGCTGACAGTTTTTTTAACCTTTTTTTGATTTAACTTAAATATTCATTTTGGTAAAAGAAGTTCTCTAGTATATTATTCGTTCTGTTTTGGGAAGCTTGTGGAAAGCAATTCATCCTGTAACTTAATCAGATTGCAATTATTTATTATTTATTTTTTCCAACATTGTAGTTGATGAGGTGAAGGGGAAGGTGAGAGGAGGATTAGAGATAAGAAACCCTAGAAAGAAATATGGAACAGGAGTTGCAATACATTGAGATTGTTTCGTCTGACCTGTGCTGTTCATTCTTTGTACCCAGTACACGGCATAAAAGGATATTTGATTTTTGACTTCTTTAATGAATTTCTTGAGAAAACCTTATTAGAAATTACAAGAAATTTCTGTAGTTTGCTCACTTGCTTAATTGATGCCCGAGGAGTGGAGGAAGAGTGTTTTGGTTCCCATTTTTAAGAATAAAGGGATACACAATAGTTTGCAAATAATAGAGAAGTTGATCTATTTTTTTAATTATGGGAGAGGATAATTGAACATAGGTTAAGACGTATTACAAAGATTTCTCATAATCAATTTGGATTTATGCCGGGCAGGTCTACTATGGAAGCTATACATTTATTGAAAGGTTTGATGGAGAAGTTTAGAGATAATATGGAGAATCTACATTTGATTTTTATTGATTTAAAAAAAGTTTACAATTGGTTCCAAGAAATATCCTTTGGAGAGTTATTGAGAAAAAAGACATTGATATGACTTATATACAAGTCATTAAAGATATGTATACTAGAGCTGTTACTTGTGTTTGAACTGAAGGAAGATTGACCAATATTTCCTATTCCTGTTGGATTACATCAGGGTCGGCTTTAAGCCCATATCTTTTTGCTTTATGGATGATCTTAATGGACATTTACAGAAGGATGTACCTTGGTGTATGTTTTTTGCTGATGATATCCTTCTCGTGGATAAGACGAGAGAAAAAAGACCACGAAAAACTTGAATTATGGTGGTCTACATTGGAGTCTAAAGGCCTTCATTTGAGTAGAATTAAAACTGATTACATGGATTGTAATTTTAGTAGTAGTAGCTTTAGTGAAAGAAGTGTAACTTTGGGTGATCAAATTTTTAAAAGGTGTGAACGATTTAGATATCTCAGGTCTGTTACTCAAATAGGTCTAGGTCTGTTACTCAAATCGATTGTGATATATATGTGAATGTTAATAGTAGAATTCAAGTTGGTTGGTTGAAGTGGAGGAATGCTTTGGGTTTTTTGTATAATAGAAAATTTCCGCTTAGACTAAAAGGAAAATTTTATAAGATGGTGGTGAGACCTGCGATGCTCTATGACGCTGAATGTTGGCCTTTAAAAGAGAAGCATAATACTAAGTTAAATGTTGCCGAGATGAGAATGATTAGGTGGATGAGTGACTTTACAATTAGAGATAAAATGAGAAATGAATATATACGTGATAGGGTTGGTGGAGCTCCTATGATAGAAAAAAATAGAGAGTCATCTTAGATGGTTTTGTCACATTAAACGTCGACCATCTGATGATCTTATTAGGAGAGTAGATGTTTTAGATTCGACTTATGTTAAGAAAGACAGATGTAGACCTAGGAAGAAGTCTTGGGTTGTTGTATGAAAATGATCTTAATTTATTAGAACTAAATGAAATTATGACACTAAATAGGACGCAATGGAGAAAAAGGATTCATGTAGCCGATCTCACGTTATGGGATTAAGGCTTTATTGTTGTTGTTGTTGTTTGCTCACTTACTTAATTGCACTACTATTTGCATTGTGTTACTCTCTTGGTTTTGTTAGCGAAATATTTCCATGCAAGCCCAAAGCCACAAAAATGTTTATAAGACTGAAGACATGGCATAACTGCATTTTAAATGACTATTTGGGGTGACTACTCTTTTGAACCTCGTCTGAAACGTTAATGACTCAAGCCAATATTATGGGTGATTCATGATCCGGTAAATACTCGTTCCCTAGTCTGAACTAGAGTAGGTTAAGAATCTTTGCATTGTATTATTTCTCTTTGTTTATTTAGCGAAATATTTCCATGTAAGTCCAATGCCACAGAAAATGTTCATAAGTCGGAAGACATGGCATATCTGCAGTTTAGTTCACTATTTGGGGTGACTACACTTCTGAACCTTTTTCTGAAACATTAATGATGCTCACGTCAATATTAGGGGTCATTCATTATCCGGGAAATATTCATTCCCTAATTTGAACTAGAATAGTTTAAGAATCTCTGCTTAGAATGACAAATTTAGACTATTCGGTAAACTGTTAGAAAAAGGCATTCTTGATGTTGCTATCTATTTCTTTTTTTAAATAATTGACTGAGAACACTCAATTTTTTGAAGGAACCAAAATGGCTACGTCAATCTTGATTCAACTCCCCCCTTCCGCGATCCCCACAAAAAACTAAAAAAAAAAGGAAAAAAAAAAAGAAAAAGAAAAAAGCAGATTGCCACTTAATGAGATTTTTTATGTTCTCTCATCATTTCATGCTTTGCTTCATGAGATAATAATCACATGTGGCTACTCAAAAATTTTTTGCATTCATTTGAACTATTGAAAAATTATTTTCCAATATTTTGTTGATTTAAGTTTATGGTTTACCTGATTTCAGGAAGAGGCATGGGCTGCAGGTGGAAGCGGCATCTTATTGAGAACAACCAACGGTGGGAAGACTTGGGCACGTGACAAAGCAGCAGATAACATTGCGGCAAACTTGTATTCTGTGAAGTAATTCCCTTCTCACTCTGGCCATAATACAGTCCATGCTACGGATTTGGTTGTTTTAAGCTTATACGGCTAACCTATCAAACTTTTTATGAAATAATCTTAAAACAGCTAAGATGCCATAATGCTGTTGATTCTGCTCTTTTTGCTATTTACGAAAGTAAATCCTTTTTTCATATGCATTTCTTTTTGGTTCCTCTGATAGTTTTTTTTAATATTTTAATAAATTTTAATATTATTATTAGAATATTAGAATATTAACTTGCAGATTTCCTTATTAATATTCTAATATTCTAATAATATGTATGTGTATGTACATGTATGCATATGTATGTGCATGTATATGCATGTATATTATTAGATGATATTAGAAGATTTATTAAAAGATATTAAAAGATTTTTCTATTTCTTATGTTGCATTTCCTGTTATTTCTTTTTATATCGATTTTTTAATTTTTGTCATTCTTTTTTTTTTCTTTTGGGTGTTATTAGGAAATGTTTGGGTATTATATCTTTCCTTTCCTCGACTATTGTATCATGTATTTATACCCCTTTTGCTGCTCAATAAGAATATTCCCTCTATTATCAAATCTAACATGGTATCAGAGCCATGGTTCTATCCCTAGTCATTTCCGAGACTCTTCCCTGGCTGTTGGCCACCTACAGGCCTTTCCCTGCAAGGATTCCGCTGCTTGTCACCTGCAGCGGTTCTCCTTCCATCAGATCTCCCTCCAGCCTGCCGGATCTACCTCGAGTCGCCAGATCTGCCTCCAGCCGGTCGGATTTCTCTCTAGGCGACCTAATCTTTCTTGAGAAGAACCTTCCAGCCGCCAGACCTTCCTCTAGCCGGCCTATTATCCCTCCAGGGTTGTTGGAACACTTCCCTTAGGCCATATCTATCCCCTGCAGGACCCACCGTAGCTGATTCTTTCTTCTACAACTGAAACTTTCCTTTGTCTAGTCAAACCAACACCATCTTTGGCTCAATCGAAATCATGGCGAACTCTTCAACCATTAAGCTTCCTTCCGACTATGTACTTGAGTCCACCAAAGCATCAACGCAAACCACAATCCCTCCGCAGAATGAAGGCCTGAAAAACCACATGAACTTTTTGATCACTACCCATAACTTAACAACTCTAATTTTCTCCAACGATTCCACACCATGTCATTGTTCGTCAAAGGACGCTGGAAATTCAACTATCTCACAGAGATGATTAGTGAACCTAAAAAAACTGACCCAACGCATGGAGCATGAGAAGTGGAGTATTCCATGGGCATGTTTTGGCTGATTAATTCTATGGAGACTAATTTTGTCCGTTCGTATCTATTTCTTCTGTTTGCAAGTGCACTGTGGACGATAATTTGGGATTTATGTTGGGATGTTGGCATTGATCCTCCGGTCGACTCAAGTACACAGTCAGAAGGAAGCTTAATTGTTGAAGAGTCCGACGTGATTCCGATTGAACCAAAGGTGATGTTGGGTTGATGAGACATAGGAAAGTTTCGACTATAGAATGAAGAATCAGTTGCGGTGGGTCCTGCGGGGGATAGATATGGCTTTAGGGAGGTGTTCCGGCAAACTTGGAGTGATATCGGGCCGACTAGAGGAAGGCTTGGCCGCTGGAAGGTTCTTGAAAAAGATCATGTTGCCTGGAGAGAAATCCAGTCGGTTGGAGGTAGATTGGTGGCTGGAGGTAGATCCGGCTAGCTGGAGGGAGATCTAATGGAGGGAGAGTCGGCTGGAGGCTAACTGTAGGTGGCCAACATCGAAATCCTTGCAGGGAAAGACCTGTAGGTGGTCAACAACTAGGGAAGAGTCCCGACGACGACTAAGGTTAGAACCATGGCTTTGATACCCTGTTAGATTTGAGAATTGAGCGGAATAATCTTATTGAACAGGAAATGGGTATAAATATATGATACAAGGTCTAGGAAGATCCGTGAGGCAAAATAGGGATCAAAGACTGTGCCCCATTACTATAATGACTTGGTGACCTTATGGATGGAATGCGGTCTCTACAACGACTACACATGAGACTCTTTGACTGATCTTTCCCTCTTCCAGAAAGTTGTGGAAAAGGATCGTGTTTTCCAAGTCCTGGCAGGTCTAAACAAGAATCTCGACGAAGTCTAGGGTCTTATTCTTCCATAGGATCCGCTTCAACCTATGTTACATTCATCGAGGTGCGCCGCAAAGAAAGTCGGGGACTTGTCATGCCCGACACTGCAACTCCTTAAATCGAATAATCTGCCTTGGTTTCTAATAGTGCTCGACCCTCCACATCGTCACGGGCAAATCATTCTACTTGTGATTACTGTCATTCATGACAAGTGTTGGAAGATCCACGAGAAACTGACGCATAATTATTCAACCAAATCGTCGACTCCCACTCAGAATCACCTGGCTTGATTAAGAGTTAGATGGTGTACTTGTTCAAACTACTTGGATTTAGTCAATTCTTTTCCGACTCGTCGACCTACCATGTTTGTTAATGTAACATTTCAATGCCCCTCTTAGTTTTTTCTTCTAGTTTGTGGATTATTAATTGAGGTGTCACAGATCATATGACCAGATGTTCTTAGTTTTTCTTGACGTATTTGCCATACTTTGAGAGAGATATCGTTAAAATTGTGGATGACTCTTGTAGTTCCATTGCAAGTAAAAGTTCTGTTGTTCTAACAGCAGACCTGGCTTTAGAATTTGCGCTTCACGTGCCTTCATTAAAGTGTATCTGCTTGTCAATCATTAAGTTGACCTATGACCTTAATTGTGTTGCTCATTTTTCTCCTGATGTTTATGTTTTTCATGATCGTCGTTCTGAGAGGATGATTGAATAAGCGGGCAGTCGGACTCTATTTTTCATAAGGCAAAATCAGGGTTGATTAGGTCACTCCATTCAGTAGTTGTAGTCTTTCCCAGTTCACTGAATGTCCTATTACCCTTTTACACTGTCGTTTGGATCACCCCGATTTTCAATATTTAAAAAAGTTATATCCTTTGATGCTTAGTAATAAAAATTAATTTAGTTTCAAATATGAGATTTGTTAGTTAGGTAAACATCATCAAGTTTCACATCCACCAGACTCTCAGACTCGAATGCATGACTATACTAATAAATGATGATTCCTTATCTTGATTGATGATCACACTCGAATGACGTGGGTCTATATCTTAAAAGACAAATTTGAAGTTGCTATCATCTTCTATCTTTTTGAGCCAATTTAAAACATCAATTCAAGCTCTTTGGATTGACAATAACCATGATTTTTTAATTCTATTTAAGGGGATTTTTTTTTTGTTAAGGGCATTCTCCATCACAATTTTTGTATGGATACTCATGAAAAAAAATGTGATAGCCGAGCGAAAAACCGACACAATTTGCCCGTTACATATGTCTCATTTAAATGTCTCGAAATGATTTTGAAATGATGTTGTACTTACCGTCACATATCTCATCAATAGAGTCCCAAAAAAAATTCACAAATTTCGGACCGTGTTAGCAGCCTTGAGATCTTGTTTTCCTATCAATCTGTTTTTTTTCACTTTAGACCCCAAAATATTTATGTGCACGACATTAGTTCAAAATAATGCCCCCACTTGTAGTAAATTTGATTCTTGGTCAATCAAGTGTATCTTCCACGGATATTCTGCCACTCAAAAAGGATATTAGTACTTCGATCCTATCACAAATAAACTCTATATGAGTGTCGTTATCTCATTCTTTAAAAGTTTTCCCTACTTCCCCAACACTGCCTCAAGTAAGGGGGGGCTAGATTTTTTGGACACTACTTTTCCGACTCGGTTGGATATGCCACCTACTCCTCCAGGCACGGTTTCTGAGGAACCTTCTGTCCCACTAAATCCACCATCTGCCAGACCAACATCCACTCCACCTATTCACCGTGTCTATATTTGATGCATCAAAGCCTCGGTTGAGACCCTTCCCGATACCCCTACTCTTGACCCCGTTGTCTCTTTATAGGACTTAGAATCCGCCTCGGCCGACATTCCCGACACTACACTTACGGAGATTACTCTTGCTCCAAATGAGGAGGTGATTTCTAACATTGAGGTACACAATTAGACTTGTTCTCTTTATTCTATGATAAAATATGTCTCATTCCATATCTTGCGCTAACCTACAGAGCATTTGCCACTTCTTTGACAGATCATTGTTTTTCTTCTACTATTGAGGAAGCATTGTTAACTTTCCTAGAAGGCTGGAGTAATGGATGAGATGAATGCTCTTTGGCAAAATCATACGTGAGATGTTGTTGATCATCCTTGGGAAAAGAAAGTAGTTGGTTTTCGGTCGATCTTCAACACTAAATTTAACTCCGATGGAACATTTGAATGCAATAAAACACGATTGGTCTCCAAAGGCTACTCACAAACCCATGTAGTTCACTATGAGGAGACGTTTGCTCCAATTGCGAAGCTAAACATCATTTTGGTCCTGTTATCCCTTGCTATGAATTTGGATTGGTCCTTTCCTCAAGTAGATGTCAAGAATGCCTTTCTTAACTACGATCTTCAGATGAGACGTACATGTCTCTACTTCCAGGCTTTGACTCAACTTTTTCCCAGAGACAAGTGTGTCAACAACGACAATCTCTACGGATTGAAGCAATTTCCTTGGGCCTGGTTTGGCCAGTTCACGCAAATGATAGTGAGCCAGGGGTTCTCTCAGGTCAAATCAGATTATACTTTTTTCTTTTGACATTCCTCTAATGGCCAAATTATCATCCTGATAATCTATGTCAAAGATAATGTGCTCATAGGTAATGCGATGCCAGCCTTGGAATCTCTTAAAGGTATCCTTGCTAAATCCTTTGAAATGGACTTATGGTCTCTCCGATACTTAGGCATGACAGTTGTCCGGTCCTCTTGGGGCATCTATCTTTCGTAGCACAAATATGTGATGGACCTATTGACAGAGACCAACCCTCTAGTTTGTGAATTAATGGTTGTTTCAATGGACTCCAATGAAAAATTAGCT